CACAAAAAATCAAAGATATATTAATATTAAAAATATAGTACATATACACGTGGATTAAAATATATATATTTTTTAAATATATAAATTTAATTAGTGAGATCTAGTAGAAAATTATTTTTTGATTTTCTCTTTTTTCTATTTTTGAAGTTTATCTTTTCGGTTTAATCAAAATAAAAATTTTTATCTATCTTGATTTTAACAAAAACATTTCCTTTGTTAATGATACCTGTGGCCAATCTTCTTTTGAAGTAGCCCTTTCGATAATTTCCTTGATCGTATTTTGTCGTGAATTTGGATCTTCTCTCCAAACATAGACTGGTTGCGTATAGTTGATAAGTTCTGTGTGTGTCATAGAAAAATATATGTATACATACATACATACATACATACATACATACATACATACATACATACATACATACATAGATATATATATATATAATAAAACAAACGGAAAAACAAAAAACTCATGCAATATATTAATTTTCAACGCCACTTATATGTCAATTATAATTGTAGTTCGTATTAATTTTATTTAAATACAAAAAGCGAATGTTAAATTTTTTTTTTATTATTTAATAGAAATCTTCAAAATTTCTGAACATATTTTTCAAAATCATTTTTTAAATGTGTTTCAAAATTTATTTTATATGTATTGTGGTGAATGGGAGAATCTTAGAAAAAAATTCGTTTATTGGCAATATTGATATTTTTTAAATGGAAATTCCCTTTAATTGCAAATAGTTATTATTAAATTATATTTGCATACGATTAAAAATTGTATTAATTTTAAAAGATGATGTGCTTAGAAAAAAAATTGCAATCCAAATTTTTGGATATTTTAGTTATTAGATCATTATATTATTATGTTTCTTAATATTGCGACAAGTCATGGTAAAAAATTACGTATCAAAATTCTTGGGCATCCTTTTCGTTAAAAGTTTTGTTCATAAACATTTCCTTCCTTTAAGACCAATGGAGATTTTTGTGAATATGAATCGTATTATTTCATGAAATAATTACGAAGCTAACGAAAATACTATATATAAGTAACGAAATATAATTAACAAGTTTATTTAAGTAACAAAATCTATTCGTTTTGTGTTTCAAAATATAATATAAATCAAATTGTATGGAAAAATTTATATTGATTTTATTCGTTTTTTTATATAAATTTATATTCGTTAAATTTATTAATGAAATTTATTTTTAAAAATAATCAAGAGAAACAAATTACAATTTAGAAAATTGTAAAACATAATTAATTTATTATAATTAATTCTGAATATTATTCATCACGAGAAATAAAATGCTTGATTGATATTAATTGATGTAGATTTTAAAAATCAATACTTTCAATGTCAAAACATAATTCTGTATCTGAAATTGGAAGAAATACTCGTATGTATAATCCATACTTTCTTCTTTTTTTAATTTTACTCCAAAATGTAAAAAATGAAATGAATGGAAAAAGAAAGTATATATATATTAGAAAAAAATGGAATCGTTTATTTTGAAGATTGATCATTTCCAAATAAGTTCAAATATAATTCATATTTCTGATATTAAAAAAAAAAAAGGAAAATTTCTGCGTTACGATTTGTCTTAATAAAAATAATTTGTAAAATTTCGTGAATCATAGCGCGTGTATCGATTCGTGATTCACACATACGAGATGATTATACCTTATATCTAAATTTAAGAAAGGTTCACATCAAATATCTTGTTTTTACGTCGCGAAATATATGAATTATACACACGTACAAATATTTATACGATATTTCTTCTCAATATTTCAAATTAATTCACGTTCATTCAACCTTTATATTTTTATTCAATCGATATTAAATATTAGTATTACTTACTTTTTCCCAAAAAATAACGATAACATGTACAACCAATTATTTTTATTAATACGATCTAATAGATCCAATTCACGTTTTAAAAAAACCTCTAAAAACAGCCACTAAACCGATCTAATTCTTTTTCGAAAAAGTATTTTCCAATTGGTCCCAATCGGAATTACCCAATAAACGTTATGATAAACGTTTAATGATTAAATAACGTAGGATGAGAAATTGGTTAGTTGATTAACTTTATGCGGTTTATTGAACGAAAGGATCCAGCCAGTTTGGTTAATGATCGAAAGCGATTGAAATCGTTTCAATAAGTGGCACGTACTTCCGATGAAAGGGTTCAATCCTGATTCTCGTCTTACGATGATCGAAGGGAAGCCGGTTATGTAGACAATCCCTCCGTCCATGAAGGTCGAATGGGGTGCAACCACTAAGATCGGCGCTTCCGCCCTCGTCGCCTGCCTTCCGCGCACAACGATTCTCATTCCTCCTGCTTGGTAAGTGAGCCGACCCATAAAGCACAACCAGGGCACAATTTTGCTGCAGGTTTTAACGTTAATCTCCGATTAACACGTTTCCCCGTTCATTCATCTCGAGATCCGCCGAGATCTCGAGGACGCGATTTTCTTTTTCCCGCCCCTTTTCCTATCTTCTTTTGTCTTCAAAAGATCGTTTAATCTGCCTATTTATTTTACGATTGTTTTCCATTCATCGATCTGTATTACAGTAATAAATTAAGGAGTGGAGTGGATCGGATTGTTTCGAGAGATTCGAAGAAATCTTTTTAGAAAAATTTATTTTTGATTATTCTTTAATCTTTATACCCTCGTTTCCTTTTTCCTTTTTTCCTTATTCACAAAAATAAAAAAAAAAATTCGGATCGATGCCTTTAGGACAAAAGATAATTATATCTTCTGATATTTTTGATCCAGATTTTTCTTTTTTTTTTTTCTTTTGTAATTAACACTGGTTGAAATTTTGAATTCGAGGAGCGAGCCACGTTCCTTTGATCTTTTCCCCCAATCGACTTTCTAAGAGAACGCGGCTCCCTCCCTTTACGGAATCTCGAGCAACGTTAGCGACTCGAATTACACAGATGAAAATTCTCATCTCCTTTTTCCTCTTTCCCGACAAATTTGCGGCAACTCTTAACTGTCAATATTTAAAATTGTCGTATGCCCGTTTCGTTCGAAACTCTCGGCTGCATACTTCACGTGAAACGAATGATATTATATATATATATATATATATATATATATATGTGTATATACACCTTTGCCGATACGGGTAATTAACATCTAATTAACGTCTCGAGTCGATATCGGCTCGTGCGATAACGCCGTATATCGATTGAAATAACGAACAATGTCGAAAACGCCCCGTTTGACCGATATTATACTTTTGCATCGACACGGATGTATAAAAATGTTTTCGAGACAGGGAACAGAGACGGATTATATATTAATTTCTGTTCAAAAACGTCACGTGGAATTGACCTATCGTATCGCATCGGTTTATTTGCGCAACAGTGAAACTTTACTTCGCTCCTGGGGAAGTCACGTGACATTGTAACGAGAAAGTTTACGCAGCCGCGAGGTTCGTTACTCCACGAGCTACTCCCGACCGTTCCTCCTGCGTTACGCCTCCGCTTTGACGAACTTTTTCTCTTCTTTATTTACTTTTCCCTGGTGGAAGGGAAGGGAAGGGATTGGAAGGGAAGAAGAACCGATAATTCCGTGGATTGCACTCGGGTTGCGTTCGGGTCGAGAAAGCTGGGAGCGAAGAGGGAGGAAGGAGGGGGAAATAAGGAGAGTGGTAGGGCAGTATCATGCGTTGTAGGTGTTGTAACGATTGTTAACCTTTGAACCTCTTATAGAAAATAACGTGCTCCAATCGTGATTGTCCAGGATTATAAACAGTGTCAGTTAGTGATGTAGGTATGCCCATTATTCCAGATATTATATGTTAGTAACAATACAGAATGTTCCCCATTCACCACCTATATACATATTTCTGTTAGCCTTTATATCCGAATAATCTTTCTCTTCCCTGTTTTCACAGGTGTATGTATATGCATGTATGCACGTTTATTATATATTCGATTTTTTTTTTTGATTTTCTTTTTTTCTCTCGTTCGATTAATTAACTGCAGGTGTGTAACGATAACGAGGTTGTTTTATAAAATCTGTTGTTATTGTACAATTGTTTTAACAATTAACACGTAGATTTCGAATATGTGGAATACGTGATAAAATCGTGGTAAATTATAAAATGAAATCAAGATGAAATGACGATTTCGATCGATCGAGAATGCATTTTTTTCTTTTTTTTTTTAAAGATTCTTCTTTTCAACTAGTAAAACAGATTCGAAGAAGAATTAATAAACAAGGATAGTTAATAATGCGAGATTCTCGAATTTTTAGAAATTTTCTTTAACAAATAGAAACGATATATCCTTATTCGAGGATTCAATTTCTAGGAATAAAATGGAGAATGTGAAGATTTGCATTATTCGTAACGAGATCTTCAAAAATCGTGTTCCATCGTGTTTCAAGTTTCGTGAAATAACATATTATTATCATCTCCTTTCTACTTTTTACAGGAATAATCAATTTTCTTTCAATTTTATTTTTCAAAAAAAAACTTTATACTCGTTTACTTTGCAACTTTAAAAATTCGCCGCATCTCTTTAATTCTCGAACAAATGAAAAATTAAATTATAGAGCAAAAGTGTCTCACGTTATTTTATTTTATTGAAATCTCACGATATTAAGAAAACAAATTGCGAAACAATTTCCTTTCCTTTCCTCGAGAACTTTTTTTTTCAAATAACGACATTCGAAAAACAACCATTTTACAAAACAACGACACTTTTCCTCTTTTCTTTTTTTTTTTCCTCCTTATTTCCTTCAATTAAAATCTTCAAATAAAAGATAGAAAGGGACGAAATTTCTAAAAAAAAAAAAAAAAAAAAAAAAAAGAAAGAAGAAGAAGAAGGAAAAAAGATCGATAAAATCACGTATAAGATAATTCGATTAATTCGATCAAAAACCAGAAACGACGTGACGGAACAACGACTCTGATCGGATCGAGAGAAAGAGAGAGAAAGAAAGATAGAGATAGAGATAGATAGAGAGAGAGAGAGAGCAAACATTTGGGAGGAAAAAACCTACTTCCGAAAAAAGGAATGCGCCCGATTTCCGCTTTGGCGACGATGCTCGGTCCGCCGAGGTAAACAACCGGGAGTGCGTCGAAGAAGCTTGAATGCGGGGCTAGGGCTAACACGGGGGCATCCTTTGATTCTGCTCTACGACCTTTGACCTTCAGGTGATGAAATCCACCGCAGATGAACAATGCTCGCATCATCCAGCAGATCACAATTCGCATGTCTCTGTATTTTCCATTTTCATATACATGTATATATATATATATGTGTGTATGTGTGTGTGTGTATACACATATATATATACAGATACATGGCCAAGTATATTTGTAAATTATATCATTTTATAGATCGTGCTACATTGTTGGCAAGCAATTTAACAACTCTCTGTGTCGTGCAATATACGTATAATGTACATCTACTTCCAGAATTTTATATACATGTACAAAAGTAATAGAATCTCGTTTACTTTGCTACTACGTGTGTTTCATTTTCATTTTGATCGTATCGAAGGAAATTTTGTAATTTTTAGAAATTGAAGAAAGAATGAAAGAAAGAAGAATCTTTTTTTTTTTTTTTTTTTTTTAGTAATCGAGGTTCTATCGAGGTGGTATCAAAATAACTTTGGCACAACTAATCGAATAATTAAATTAACAACAGTTGTTGTAAGTTAAGTTAACGAGACGATGCATAACACTCGATATAAAGAAAAAGTTTTATGGTTAATGGAAAAGTTTATTTTAATATTCTGGGAGAAAGTATAAAAGATTTTTAGATGTGTTAGATAAAATTATTGATGTTACGAAACATGCATAGCCTCTCTTCTTGAATATTTTCAAAGGAAAAAGAAAACAAGAATAATTTACAATTTTATTTGCTCAAAGAAAAAGAACAGCGGTATATAGTAGCAAACGATGTATGTACATTAAGCATCTCGTGTATTTTAATTTCTACAAAATTTTCTCGATCCGTAAATACAAACAATTAAATTAAAAAAAAAATATCTACAATAATTAAATAATTTCGTTACATATGTACTACAAGATATTTATATATACATAAGATAAAAGCCGTAATGTGCATCTTCAAGGTGGAAAAATAATTTATTCAAGGTTACATCGAATCCAATGTCTATACAATGATACTGAATTATTCAAAGTGGGCGGTTGTTACACGTGGAAAAAACGTTTTTATTGATCATTATATGAATATAAAAGAAAAAAGTTACATGAATTCTTGCTGAGATTGTAAGCCGAACTTGAAAAAGTTACTTATCTGTTTTTTTATCAGATAAAAATTATTACCTCAACATTTTGTAATAATATGTATATAGTATATATAAATTAAAAATTGAAAAAGAATTATGTATTCGTTATTCCTTTTTTTTTTCTTTTATTTAAGTCAGATACAATTTTTAGTTACATAATTCTAGTCTTTTTTTTAAATGTTTATCCTTCAATTTAAAAAAAATCTAATAATTATATATCAATCTCAAAGAGTAATGTATATACTTCAATACTTTTTAATAATAACAAGTTTACAAATTTATATTTCAGAGTTATTAACAATTTGTTTTGCTATATGTAGATGAAAATTATATTCAATCGATACTATTCTATGTGCACAATGTCCATGGAACTTTGCATTTCGAGTTAATAATAAATATTGGATGTATATCTCTACTGTGGTGGATGTGCAAAGTGGAATAGAAGGTGGCGATAATTATTTTATTGCAAAAAGCGTGCTATATTTCCGTGCAAACAAACTTCTGCCGATAACATTTCTCCTCTATGACGTGTTCTTATGGGGGAGTTTATTATTCTAAACAATGTCTACGTTTGAAAGTGTTGTGACACACTTTCCGTTTATAGAAATCGAAACAAATACGCCTCCTGAATGTTACTGTAGACGAAAGAAACAAATTTTATTATTATTATTATATTTCTCACCCATAATTTGAATTATATCGAATTAAAATCGAAATGATCAATATAACATTTTCGAACCAAATTCCAAGCTTCATTATAAATACATTTACAATTTCTAATAAAAAAGTGATAAGAAAGTAATAATCACTTTCTTGTTTATTAAATATCTCACGAAATATCTTTCTTCATAAAAAAAAATAATTATATATATATAAAAATAAAAAATAAATTTATTTAATTGACATATATATATATATATATATTTTCTTCTTTATAATTAACTTTGTAATCTTTGAATAATATGAATAATCTGATTATTTCTGATGGATCAGCATCTTTCTTCACGATGAATCATACGTAATGCACGAAAAATTGCAGGAAAAAATTGAGCAAGCAATTTTTCGTTGAAAAATATTTTTTTAAAAATTTCATATCTACATTTACTATTAAACTCCACGTATTTCCATATACGTAACACGATACAATGTTTCATCTTAAAAAAAAAAAATAACAATAAAATCAGAACTATATAATCGAAAAAAAAAAAAAGGAAAAAAGTCTATCTAATCGCAATTCAATAATAATATGTATATATACATATACACGAGTATTATCCGATCGCGAGATGAAAACTTCTCGAATCGCGTTAGAAAATCATTTCCACGTGAAATCGGCGCGGCGTTTCAGCTGTTGAAAATTACAGAGATTAAATTGTCTTCGTTCGAAATGTATGATCGAAGAGGTGTGCGCGAAACGCGACACTTGTTGCGATTAAATATCGTGGAACGATCGAAATCGCGAGACGCGATAGGCGATAGGCGGCGAAATGATGCGCCCGGGGAATTGTTGTTGCGAATTCCATCGATTGGAAGGCTGGGAGCGAGAGAACGGGCACGAACTACTTATACCAACCCGTACTTTCTCCCGTTACTTATTCTTTTTATCGTATTCTCGTTCGTTTCTTTGCCGCGGTCATTCACGCGCTCTCTCCCCACCACCCTCCATCTCCTTCAATCGTTTCAAGTGTACGACCGTGAAATAAAATTCTTCAAGGGATTTCCGCAATTTATCCTAATCATTTCGTCTCGCCGGCAATCGGATCTTGGCCAGGGCCATTTCTTTCCATTTGTCCCTCTCTCTCGCGTGGCTCGTCCATCGCGTTTTAAACATTTGGCCCGATAAAAGGAAGGAAGCAATATATGTGTGTGTGTGTGTATATATATATATATAGTATATAGCGGAGAAGAATATGAAGCAGTAAGAGTTTGCAAGTAAGAAGTATACCCGTCGCTTTGTGCCGGATAAATTTTAGAGGAGGCTTTCATTTCGTAGCGAGCAATAGAAATAATTATGTAACCAGTTAGTTCCCCGTAGTAAGAAGATTCAGATCGATGTGGGAAGAATATATTTTAATATTCGAAAAGAAATGGAGATAGTTACAGTAAAACACGTTTGTACGTAAGAAGATTGAGTTTGGGTGAAGTAAATAAATTTTGACGGAGGGTTCGGTTACTTGGATTCGAGAAGAAGAGGAATATATGTATGTATAGAAATAATTACATAAAAGTTTCTACACAAAAAGATTCGTTTTGTGGGAAGTAAATACAGAGGATTCTCGAGAAAAGAAATAATATATTAGGAAAATAATTACATAAGAATTTGTACATAAAAAGATTCAGTTTGAAAAGTAAATTTTAGTAGAGGTTCGGTATTTGATTCGAAAGGAAAAGGAATATTATATTAGAAATAATAAGAATAAGAGAATTCATTTCATGCGAAATAAATTTTAGCAGAGATTGAAGTATTTGATTTGAAAAAAAGAAAAAGAGATACATTAGGAAAAAACGCAATAAGAATTTTTATTATGTTTTCACGTTTTAAAAAAGAAAAAAAATGGAAAATTTTCATTCGTATTAGAAATAATTTATTATGGTATTTTTGTAGTGTAGTCAATAATTTGAAATTAAATGTCGCGTATTATTTTTAATGGATTTTAGAGTGCTAATTTTAATACCTTTATTATTTTGATTGCACGTAAGTAGCTCTTTATAACGATATAAACTAATTGAACGAATATTTTGTTGTTACATTATCAAATTTTACGCTTACATAATTGTTTTTTAAAAAAAATAACACGTAGTTAATGAATTCTTGAAATTTGGTTTAGTAAATAAAATTTAATAAATAAATACAATATTTCAATTTGTATCAAGCTCAAACTGCATCTAATTAATATTAATACCTATTTATAATTAACTACATTATATATATATACAAGTTTCTATCAGCTGTTTCCTTTCTAAATTACTAATTAATTCCAAATTCTTTCCTACTTTTCCCAACATTACCAATAACGTGATGGCATCAATCTCTTTTAACATTATTATTTATAACGTGAAATACAAAACAAACAAAAGTTGAAACAAACAATTGAAGATTCCATTATGAATCTCATAAAGAAATATGATTGATCTGATTTTTGCTTGTAAATTTTTGATGACTTAAAAAAAAAAAAAATTCATTAGAAAAATATATTAAATTTCGAGAGAATTCGCATATCGAAATTTTATAAAAGTCAAAGACTTAATTAAAAACATTTTTGAAACGTTAAAAAGAAAAGATATATAATTTCGAAATCAAACAAAGAAAAACAAAAACAAAGCTTACAATAATATTCAATATTTATCTAAAACTTTATTGAATGGGACGAAATTTTAAATAGCACTCGATTGATTAAATTTTCAAACCGATATTAAATCCACTTGTCCGAAAGTGAACTCTTATTATTTGAACAAAAAAATCTCGGGGAAAGTCAATAATCTTCATTTGCATGTTCATCCCTACTTCAAAAAAAAAAAACAAACAAAAAAAAAAAGAGAAAGAAAGAAAAAAGTAAAGTATTGTATTCGATTTCAAAAATCCTCACTCTCCTCTTCTAAAGAAAAGAAAAATTTATTTTATTATTATCTATTATTCGCGTGTATATAAAACTGTGCATATAAAACTAATTACAATTAAAGACTGGTCATAAAAAAAAAAAGTTTGCGCTGAAAATAAAAATTGTTAAGATATTAGCTTCTTTGTCTAGAAAAAATTTTATCGTTTTGACAAATATACTTCAATATTTTAAAGCTCTAATTAACAATAGAAAGTTTTTGCATTAAGAAAATTCGAAAGTCTACGATATTAATTACGATATTTGCGATTCTTTTTATGGCCAGTCTTCAATCAACAACGACAAATAGATAAACGAATATCCGTATACTATATAAAGCCATGCAAAAATTCCAATATCCATACAGCAAACAAAATCGAAAACTCGTTGAAAAGAAAGTAGAAATAATAAAGGGGAAAAAAACTTTTTAAATTTTAGTTTAAGGCGTTCAAAGTGGGCGGGCAGAAAAACCCGAAAGTGCAGAACGCATGGAAACGAGACGAGAAGAAGGTAATAATGGCGGTTCGATGCATCTTACCGTCTCCACCCCGTCAAAGGTGCGCGTCGAAGATCTTCCTCGGACAATCCAAGAAGGCCTAGACAAGCCAGAAGCCAGGCCATGATCACCAGAGCCGTAATTGCGGCTAGTCTGAATGGTAGGAGAGCCACAGTCAGGAATGCCGTCTGAAATACGAAGCATTTCCGCTTCAACAACTGCTATCAATATGTTGTTCCGATATAAAGGGGAGAAAGAAAAAAAAAAAAGAATTCTTCAACGCATTATTTTCTATCTCTTCTGTCTCTTTGTGATCTCTGATTGATCTTTAATTATTCGTCATATTCTTTGCATTTCCGTGATTAGGAAGGAATTTTTAGATTAATATAATATCGTCGTTTATTCCATTTTGATTATTCTTCTATCTCATGAGAGTATTTTGGAAAAATCGATAAAAAATAATTAATTCTAAATTAAATTCTAATGTTCAGCGATGATAAAAATTTCAAAAAGAAAAAAAAGGAAACAACAACACTATTTTTCTTTTATTCCTAATATTTAAATGTTTTAATTTTTTAATTTATTTCATTTTACGTGGAAAATACTTTCTATCTCTGCTAGAAAGAATCAAAATCGAAAGGATCGAGTATAATTCAAGAAATTATATTTCCTCCCAATAAGATGATAATTAAAAAAGAAATCGATTCGATAATTTATAAATCGACGACGATCGATCAGGAACAAGGTCGCAAAACACACAGAATCGAAATGTATATCGAAATTTCAGGATGTCAAAGATAATAAATTTGAAGATAAAATATTTCGAAAGTGGAACTAGGTCGTTGTTAAATCTAATCTCGAAAAAAAAAAAAAAAAGGAAAAATATTAGCCTAGAGCAAAGAGGGATAATAGTTCAGGGTTTCGAGGAAGAAAGAGTGAAGATGCATTGCGTCATTTTTTTTTTTTAGTCCCTATTAACGGTGACTCAAGTGAGGAGATATCGCGTAGGTTTTCGCTGATAAGAAATTGTCGAAACCTTGATCAGCACAATCTATACATACTTCATCGGCACGATGAGGCACAAAACATTCGATATATATATATATATATATATATATATATATATATATATATATATATATAGTAGTAGTA